TATTAAAAGAGGCAAATGTCATTACTCATATGAAGGAGCTTTGAAAAATCAGAAGTGCTAGGGAAATGCAGGGTAATATAATTAACTAGGCTTCTTATCTATTAACATAAATGCACCACAAGTACAATGTGACTAATTAATCTTTAGTGTTTTCCTATGAGGGTGGTCATTATCTACGAATGAATCTATTTTGTGGATGGGGAAAATTGAAACCTCAAGAAGGCTAAGTTTACCCAGGGTCCAAATATGCAACAATGCTAAATCTGAAAGCATGCCTTTTCACTTATGATTCAGTCCACAAGCTGGACTAAATATGTGGGCCAATGTCTTTAGCTTAAGAAGTTATTGCTTATAGAGAGAAAGGGCAATCCCATTTCGGCAGTGAACCATCAGGACTCTCTTGGTAGCAAGTGACAGAAACCTAACCAACTGCATAGTTTTGACTTTGTGTACAGGTAGGTTCAGGAGCTTGAATAATGTCATGAGGACTGAGATATACCCCCTGAATTTTTAGTCTCAGCATTTCACTAAGTTGGCTTTATTCTCAGACAATATATATCATATGCCAGATCTCAATTGTTAGATCCCAGCACAACCAGCCTTTACCTGCCCATTTGAAGGTCCAATGGAAAGGGAACTTAACTTCTCTTTTTCCCATCCATTCTCATCAGAAAAAAGTCCTGGGCCTGATGTCACTGAATAAAAATCAGGACTCATACTCATTTCTGAACATGAGATGGTGAACAGGATATTGATATCTTTAGGTTGGTCTAGGTCTAGTCACATGACCATTCTTAGAGTTTGGGGTGGTAAGAAGGACCAGACGGACTGTTAGTTTCAGTCAGCCCCCGTGCCAGACTACAAGGACATTGGGAAAGAGTAGTTTTCCAAAGGAAATCAGGATACTATTCCTCAGTAGGAAAATAATAATAACAATAAATTAAAAGAAATACAGATGTTCTTCCATGGTACCTCTCTGCAGAAAGGAAAATTCGGAGAAGCTGGAACTAGACCAAGTGTCGGTATGCTGAGGCACAAAAGAGCCACCAATAAGAGAGGAGCCTACAAGGGATTCTGGTGGGTAAGGCAAGATCAGAAGTCATTGCAGGCAAAAGGTTTGAAATCCAGGCAGTTCATGAGTCAAAGCTGAGGACACTTTGATAATCCATGCTCAGCCAGGAGCAAACCTGTGTTCATGGAACAATTTTTGGAAGTGTAGTCCACCCAAATGGGTGTGGGCTGGGGGATCTTTATAGATTACTCTTTGACAGAATGCTGGGGCTCTCAGCCCTAAGATATCTGGTGATTTTGAGGCACCCATACTCTCTCCCAGTGACCAAGACATTTCTTGCTCTACTCAGACACTCAAGCTATTGTGCACAAACTCTTTAACAGTCCCGGTAGAAATCTTGGCTGCAAATTTGATGAGCCCACACCACCAGATGGTAGGTTCTTCTAATTGGTTCCATCCCTCCTAGTTTTTGGCAGGGATGAAGGCTTCCCTATGCCTGAAGAGGGGGACAGAGAGAGCCAGGATGAAATGAAGGAGGTTTTAACCTCTGTTAAACAGGCAGAGTTAAGTTAGTTTCTGTTCAAGGAGAACAGGGTGGTATGGTTCTTTATTGCCAGGTCATGGATTAACAGTGGACTGAAATCCTAAAACTAATACTGATGAGACACAGGATTATAAGGATTAGAAAGTGGTTTGCTTAACTAGAAAGGTCAACTGATCTAGGGGAGGGATTTCATTTATTCAGTTATTGATATTTATGCAGCATTGTGATAGATTCAATTATTATTTGGTAATTATTCATCTCTTCCCCCAAACTCCTTGGCAAGAGTATATCTCCCTGCTCCATTAATGTTATGTTTGGTCATGTGACTGGCTTTTGCAACTAGGATATTGTTAGGCATGTTTCAAGCAGAAGCCATGAAAAAAAAATGCCTCAGAGAGCCTGCTGGTCCCAAAAGAAAGAAAAATACAAAACACGGAAGTGCTGCTATCAACCCACAAGCTAAAGTTTGAAGCAGAGCTGTCCCAGCTGACCTAAAGACCTGTGAACATGATAGTAAATGCTCATTGTTATATACCACCAAACATGCTTTGTTATATAACACTGTTATATACCACTAAACATGGGGATGCTTTGTTGTGTAGCAATATCTGGCCAGTACAAGAAATCACTGTATATTCCACATTTTACTAGGCACTGAGAGAACACTGGATAATGATAGATATGGTCCTGGTCTCCATGGGGCATATGTTCTATAGAGAAATAGGCAATAAGTACATTGACAAATAAAAAAATAATAGAAATTGTTACTATGGTTATAAAGAAAATAGAATGTGGTAAGAAATCTCTATGGTAGAAGAGAACCTACTTTAAGTGCTCAAGGAAGACCTCTCTAAGGAGGTGACTTCTGAGCTCAAATATGAAAGTTAGAAATGAGCCAGCCAGACAGGGTATGATACCCTGTGGAATGTGAAAAACCAGCCACATGGGCAAGTTAGATTGCGAATCTTGGTCTAGGCAGTGGAGAATGAGGGACCCTGAAAACATTCCTTGCAAGTTGGGTCACTCAGTCGTCCTCAGGCAGATGCTGGTTTCTCTGCACCATATTATATGTGCAAGTCAAGGGCTGACAATGGGGCACTTGCTGCCACGGCAAGACAGCCACAGAATGTGGAAGCCACTGAGCATAACAGAGGAAGATGGTAAGGTTCCCAGGGCATTCCTACCAGAGAGGTCATGAAATTGGCTATCCTTTCTGTTTTGGGTCCAGAATATTGATTGTTGCTGTTGCTTCTAAGGATGGCAGGAGGTATATGTGAGCGCGCGCGCGCGTGTGTGTGTATTCATTCTTTCACAGGGGAAGGAAATAAACTAGATGGTTTCTATATCCTTTCCAAGTCTGTGATTATAAAACTTAAAGATTCTGAGATTTAAATTATGTGTGAAGGAAATGTTAAATCAAAGTACTTCGTCTTAGCTTGGTGCCAAACTCCATTTGTTCATTGAGGTGGTTAATTAGGGCAGAGACTGTCTCGAGCAAGCAGGATAAGCTCCAGCTATCCCTAACCTATCTGGTAAAGCCTATGGAGGTGCCACAGCTACAAGGGAGGGCAGAAAACACCTAATGTGAGCCTTCCATTTAATCTGTACTCCAGACACTAAAAAGCAGGAGTCTTTGGGAACGGAAAGCTCATAAAGGTCCATGTGAAGTCTAGAAACCAGGTATTTATTAGCTTTGGGAAAGTTACTTAAGCTGTACTTACTATCTTTTCTTTCTTACTCCAAGATCATTCTGAATACCTTAAAATACGGTTTCTGCTCTGACTATTCTGATGAACCAGTTCCTTTAGGGTTATAATGTATTTCTTATCACCAATTCCACTTGTATTATGTTTTTGTTTCTGAGAGCTGAACACCTATGGGAATCTTCATACCCCTCCCTAAGAGTCCTGAGCTTTGTGATGCTGTGTTCTCCCCACTGGCACCACTGGGGCTCTCTCTGATCCCTTCTGCTCCTTTTTTTCTCCCCTATATCTACCCTTTCCCCAAGATGCTACCTCTACATTTTGGGTTCAATATATCAAGAACAGAACTTGGCATCTTTTCTTCCAAACCCATTGCTCTTCCCTCACTTTAGTTCTGTTGAGTTACTCAAGCTCAAAATGTCATGTCATGTCTGAGTCCTCCAGACTGTCCTCTCTCCATCCAGTACATATGATGTGCTGTTTTGGCCACCACTATGACTCTTGACTCTGCCCACTTTTTTTTTCTTTTTTCATCGGATTGTGTCGTTAGCCTTCTGACTAGTCTCTCCGTGCTATGATCCACTTGCCACACAGCAAGTAGATCAATTTCTTGAAGACTTTCTCATCGTGAAACTTCTCTATCGTAAGAAAATTGTCAATGGCTCCCCATCTTGTTTTAAGTTCAAACTCAGCTCAGGATATGAGTCTTTCAATAACATGGTCTCAGTTTGCCTACCTTTGGAGACTTATCTAACAATCCACACTCTATGTTCCAGCCAATATATCCTACCCAGTGTTGCCACAAACGTGCCTCTCGGTCTCTCACTGCTCTGCTTTTGTTCATGCTTCTGCTTCCCCTAGCATTGACCTTCCCACCAGCTGAGAATACTTCGTTTATTTATTCAACTTATTTACCGAACACCACTCTTTATTAGACCCTGGGGATGTAGCAGAGAGCAAAAGCAACAAAATCCCTGCACTCTTGGGGACTACATTCTGATGAATAAATAAATAAATATAATGGTTTCAAATAGTTGATAAATGCCACAAGTATAGCCAAATAGAGTCATGGAACAGACAGTAGTCTAGAGAGTTGGTTTAAGTAGGTGGTGAAGGTAGGTGTCTCTGAAGGAGTGATATTTTAACTGCGCCTTGTTATAACCAATAAAACTTTCTGTAATGATGGGAGACATTCTATCTCTGTGCTGTCAAATATGATAGCCACTAGCCACATGTGCCTGTTGAACATTTGAAATGTGGCTAGTGTGACTAAGGAACTAAATCTTTAATGTTATTTAATTTTAGTTAATTTAAATTTAAATAGCCACATGTGGATAAATGGCTACCAGATGAACAAAGACTTAGGCTCTAGAACTTTCCAGACAAAAAGAGTAGTAAGTGTAAAGGCTTTAAAGTAAAAGTGAATTTGTGGATTCAAAGAACAAAAAGAAGATCAGTGGGCTAAAGCATACTAAACAGAGTTTGGCAGGCTACTTTATAGGCCACCTATAACAAATTGAGATTGATTTTAAATAATAAAAATTACTAATGGGGTTTAACCTTAGGAGTGAGTGCATGATCTGATTTTATATTTTTTAAAAGAGGTTCCTCTCTAGAGAAGGGGAAAGTGATAAACTGACAAGAAAATGGTGTATATCAATCAGTTATTGGTGCATAACAAATAACATCAAAATCCTAGTAGCTTACAAAACCTTTTTTTTTAAACAACCATATTCTTCAGATTGACTATGGATCACCTGTCCTAGGCTGATAAGGCTGGACTCCAGGAGGGTTAAGACCTGCCCTGTGTGTCGTTGCTTTGGGAGTGAGGGTGAAGGGGCAGCAGCTACAAAAAACGCCTGCTACTCTTGTGGAGGATCGCCGGAACACAAGAGGCTAAGCCTTATCATGCAAGTATAATTAAAACTTATGCTTGTGTCATGTCTTCTATTTTTCCATTGGTTCAAGCAAGGCATTTGGCCAAACCTAACACTCTTGGGGCAGAGAAATATACTCTACCATCTAAGAGGGATTACAAGTCACATGGCAAGGATGTGGATGTGTATTTCTATAATAGTAACCCAGTGCACCACAGAAGGGACATAGGGAGAAGCGCTAAGAGGCACCTGCAATAGTCTACATGACAGGTGATGGTGGTTTGAATCAAGGTGGTAGCAGAGGAAAAGAGGTAGATTTGTAATTTATTTTAAAGGTGTTAACAACAGGATTTGGTGATGGATTGAATGTACAGTATACAGTAAAGAAACTAAATCTTTCTTTCAGAGACAGAGAGAGATTGAGCATGCATCTGCGCATGAGCTTGGGGGAGGGGCACAGGAAGAGGGAGAGAGAGAATCTTAAGCAGGTTCCATGCCCAGTGTGGAGCCTGATACAGGGCTTGATCCCACTATCCTGAGATCTTGATCTGAGCCAAAATCAAGAATCGGACACTTAACCAAATGAGACACCCAGGAGCCCCCAGATCTACTTTCTAAGGTGCTTCTCAAATATGACTACCCTTCTATGAAATTGTTTCTCATTCCTTCAATTATAACTGATCTCTTCTTCCCTTATTTTACTAGCTCCTCTTTTTTTTCTTTTGTACTGCTTTTATTGGTCCCTTTGACTTTTTTTTTTTTTAAAGATTTTATTTATTTATTTGACAGAGAGAGACACAGCGAGAGAGGGAACACAAGCAGGGGGAGTGGGAGAGGG